ATGATTTCTAAAGGGTCAATAACAGGGGGTTTATAGCTAAGTCAATACATGGGTACTAAAGGGTCAACAACGTGGGGTTGGAGCTAAGTCAATACATGGGTACTAAAGGGTCAACAACGTGGGGTTGGAGCTAAGTCAATACATGGGTACTAAAGGGTCAACAACGTGGGGTTGGAGCTACGTCAATACATGGGTACTAAAGGGTCAACAACGTGGGGTTGGAGCTAAGTCAATACATGGGTACTAAAGGGTCAACAACGTGGGGTTGGAGCTAAGTCAATACATGGGTACTAAAGGGTCAACAACGTGGGGTTGGAGCTAAGTCAAGATACAACTTTTAAAGGGCTTATAACGTGGGCTTGGAGCTAAGTCAAGATACACGTTCTGAAGGGTCAACAAAGTGGGGTTGGAGCTAAGTCAGAATAATGATAATAATAATAATAATAATAATAATAATAATAATAATAATAATAATAATAATGTAGATCATTTCTTTAGCACCCACTCACATGTGAACACAGCTCTAGGCGCTTTACATAAATGCATGTTCGAACACACACACACACACACACACACACACACACACACACACACACACACACACACACACACACAGACACACACATGTGCACGCCCCCCCCCCCCCCACACACACACACTCACACACACTCACAAACACTCACACACACTCACTCACTCACTCACACACACACACACAGACACACACACACACACACACACACACACACACACACACACACATCTACTTGCTTATCACAAGCGCACGCCTACACATGGTTACGAAATGAGTACATACAAATACATGTATATAAGATAATATACATAATGCAATTCGTAAAATACATAAATGGATACATAGTCATTTACATAACATTGTACTGAACATGAATCTACTGACAAAAAATGATATGTCTTTAAAGATATTTTAAATTTAGACTCAGATGTTCTATGTTTCAATAGTTGGGGAAGAGAATTCCAAATTGAAGAAGCAAGGTGGGCTAACAACCTTTCAGTTTTTACCTCTTTTTCTAGGAAATATTAAAAGATACTGATCGCCTTATCTTAGTAATCTAGGTGGAACATAAATCTAGATGAAATCAGTAAGATAGGAGGGAGCTTTGTTATTGACAAATATGACATAATATTGCAATTTTAAATGGGTTCTAAAGGGTGAATAACTTGGGGTTGGAGCAAAGTCGATACATGAGTTCTAAAGGGTCAACAACGTGGGGTTGGAACTAAGTCAAGATACAAGTTCTAAAGGGTCAACAATATGGGGTTGGAGCATAGTCAAGATACAACTTTTAAAGGGCTAATGATGTGTTGTAGGAACTAAGTCAAAATATATGGGTTCTAAAGGGTCAATAAAGTGGGTTTGGGGCTAAGTCAATACTTGGGTTCTGAAGGGTCAACGACGTGGAGTTGGAACTAAGTCAGAATTATAATACTAATAATACTAATAATACTAATAATACTAATAATACTAATAATACTAATAATACTAATAATACTAATAATACTAATACTAATAATACTAATAATAATAATAATAATAATAATAATAATAATAATAATAATAATAATAATAATGATAATAATAATAATAATAATAATAATAATAATAATAATAATAATAATAATGTAGATCATTTCTATAGCGCCCACTCCCGTGTGAACACGTGGCACTCTGCTCCTGCAAATGGTCCTCCAGTCCTGCAGGCATTTCTCAGTCTTGCTGACGATCCTCTGGTCCTCAAGATAATCTTCCAGGTTAGTAGGAGGTCCTAGTAATGACAACGCGTCAAAGAAAATCCTCTGAGATATTTACAGTTCAACAGAAAGTATTCATTATATAGGTGTTACAGCGAAGTTTAAGGAGGATTGCTAATAATATGACAAGTACAGGTATTTTAGATAAACTTAAATGCAAAAATATTTAAAGCCAGAACCATAAGTGCAAATGCTCAAAATTGTCTTTAACAAAAGACAACGAAACTCTAGATAGCAATGTTACGGTACTGTTTTGATTTGATTCACATTAATCATAACAAACGTACAATTCTTAAGTATAATTTCAGGACTTATAAATGGCAAGGGGCAGTTTTTGAGAAACATCTAATTTTTTTTTTAACTGTCGGATCCACCAATGATTTGTTTACTTTATAGAAAACATAAGTTAAATGTTTTACAATCAGGAGTAGAGCACAAGACACATTTCAAATATAATTACCTTCTCAGACTATCCATTATTCATCACTATTTACGGTCTTCCAGTCCAATAGGTGGTCCAACTGGCTGTCCTGTCCTACTGGTGATATCAGAACCCCGATCACAGGAAGGTCAAAGGCCACAAGAACAGCTGCCCCACTGACACAATTCTGACAGTGCAACACCAACAAGCTGCAAGGAACCATCCAGTATACAAAAATCACTTCAACACTTAAGATGAAAATCAGCAAGCAGCTCTTCCAAGCCAGTTCTACTCCTTCCACCCCCTTCTTTTTTGGAAAGACTCAATCTACCCCTGCCACCCCACAACCCCGAAAAAAATGCTACCCTGCCTCCCGCCATGGCCATGGCAATACTATCTACAAAACCCTACTCTGAACCTAGCTTATCGACCTAACTTCCTATCAACCTATCTTTATAGGAGGGAGGGGATGTCAGAAGCAGAATTGGATCGGAAGAGCTGCCTACTGGTGTTGGAGTGAATTTGGCATATTGGCTTGTTCCTTATACCTTCTTGGTGCTGAGTTGCCATTGCTGGGTCAATGGTGCTGTAAAATGTTAACTCGGCGGATCAAACAAACACTGCCTGCTGTTTGTCCTTTGACCTTTTGTGGTAGACTTACTGATAACACTAGTGTCTTCTAGACCAAAAGTCTGATGAGTGGCAGTGATCTGAGGGAAAGAAATTCAACGTTAAATCAGTTTGCATTTCTAAGTAATTTTGAGTTCATGTTGAAGTTTCTAAAATATTTGATACGTGATTAGATCTATTTAATTCAGTAACTTCTATTAAAATGAGCAAAGCAGTAAAAAAAAAAAAAAAGTAGCTTGTGACACTGAAAGGAAGTTTTGATCTTCAAGGATGTTTATACTTCACATTGTGTCCATCTTCTAATCAAGTAAACATTACGTACTGCTGTTCCCAACACTGGTGTGTAAGATACATGAACAATACAGGTTGATAAGGACCCTGAAACCAACGTAAATTGCATCCGTTTGAATTCCGTCAATTACAAGCAAACGTTCAATTCATAGGTATACATTTCGGAACCATTAGACATGTCCAGGGGCAGTTTTTGAGAGAAACAAACAGGAAAATTTCAAGTTTCAATGAGTATTCGTAATTTTCAGGCATAATAGGTTATCGTTTTTTAATAAGTCTAAATAGGCCAAGACATCTTTCAACGACAAATACCTTTTGAGGCTGATCATGCAACGCTTCTTGTTTCTCGACACAATCAATATGGACAATCCTCTGATCCTGTCGGCAATCCACCGGTGTTGTACTGCAGGCAGTCCTGGGGATGAAATGTGTCATAGAAAATCCTCCAACATCGATATAGTTTTATTTAGTTTCAGGGGTTAAAAACAAAACACTCACTATACTGGCAGGGAAGAAGTAATAAAAGGCAAGTTACAAATACGACACGCACTGGATTCTGCACCCGTGCAAATTTTCTATATATTCTAGTAACTAATGCTTATGAATGGGGTTCACTTTAAATGTGTTGTATTTTTTAGTGTGGGAGCTATTTTTACAACCCCATCAACACAATTTAAATCCCTTTGGGTATAGATTTCCGACATTTCAAGTCGAACCCTACCTCATCGATGGGTATAGTTTAGTTTAGTATGGGGTTTTACGGTGCTCGCAACTGCATAAGGTCATATGAGCGCGCGAAAAACAAGTTAGTTTTATTCGCAGTTCACTATACGGCTGGGTACGGGTCAGTAGATTTTAAAATGTTCAAATATTTAAAATTCGGTGTAAATATATTTTTTCAATCTAACACAACTTTCCTAAATAAAATTTAAAAGTTTAATAATTCAATTTTACTCTACAATCCCTCATAAAGGCCAATGGCCTTCATGAAATCCAAAATTCTGTTGGGATCAACGACAGAAAAAGTATCTTGTAATTTTTTGCATTTGAAGTATTTCCTTCGGGTCTCTCCGAAGTCTAGACATTCGGTTAAAATGTGTCTAGTGGTAAAATCGATGGGTATTCTAATGTTATAGTCATTATGAGTTAGATAATGTCTTAATATGGAACTTAAGTCTCAGTGAATAGTGTTGCAAGACATAAAGACAAATACCTTCTGATGCTGATCATCAGTCATCACTTCTCGATTCTTGACAGTCTCGATATAAACGGCCCATTAGTCCTGTCGTCGGTCTACAGGGCCCTCCACAACCGTATTGATGAAAGAAAAAATGAAACTTTCTCACGCACCAATGAATGTTCTTTTAGTTTGTACTTAAATAATATGTTATATAATTTCTTAAGCCAGTGAGTAGAATTGCAAAAAATAGTATTCCAAAGACAATTACCTTCTCAGGCTGCCCATCATTCATCACTTCGTATTTGCGGTCTTCCAGTCCAATAGGTGATCCTATAGGCTGTCCTGTTCTACTGGTGGTATCAGAACACCTACCACAGGATGGTCAAAAGCCAAAGGAACAGCTGGCAGTGTTTGTTTGATCCACTGAGTATACATTTTACAACACCACTGACACAATTCTGACAGTACAACGCCAACAAGCTGCAAAGAACAATCCAGTACACAAAAGTCACTTCAACACTTAAGTTGAACATCAGCAAGCAGCTCCTTCCAACCAGTTCTACTTCTGCCACCCCCTTCCCCCTGAAAAGACTCAATCTACCCCCGCCGCTTCACTCACTCCCCCCAAACAAACCCCACCCCCCCCCCCCCCCCCAAAAAAAAAATCCTGCCCTGCCCCCTCAACTCTCTCCCGCCATGGCCATGGCAATACCATTTACAAAATCCTACTCTGAACCTAGCCTGTCCACCTAGCTTCCTATCAACCTATCCTTACAGGGCCAGTGCAGTGTAGATAGGGGTCTTTTAAAGGGGGAAGGGGGTGACAGAAGTAGAATTGGGTGGGAAGAGCTGCCTAATGATTTTGAGCTTGAGTGTTGGAAGAGAATTTTGCATACTGGCTTGTTCTTTGCAGCTTGTTGGTGCTGCACTGCCATTACTGTTTCAATGATGCTGGATCAAATAAACACTACCAGCTGTTTATATGACCTACCTTCTGTGGTAGACTTACTGAGAGCACCAGTGCCTTCTTACCGAAAAGTCCGACGAGTGAAAGTAATCTGGACAAAAAATTGTTTAAGTGAAATCAGTTTGAATTATTAGATTTTAGGTTTAAGCACCTTCGTGTTGGAGCCTCTAAATTATTGATACGTGATTAAATGCAGCACATTTTATTTACACGAGCAAAGTAGTAAAACAAATTGTAGCATGTAACACAGAAAGGAAGTTTTGCTCTTCAAGGTAAAACCCTACATTGTGTCCACCTTTTAATCATTTAAAAATTGCGGTATTTCTATGCTGGTGTGAAAGGAAAGACATGACCATTACAGGCTGAAAAATAAATACAACCTTCAAATGACACTAAGGCAAACATATTCAATTGTTTCCGTTTGAATTACGTCAATTACGAGCAACATTTGTAGGTCTATTTTCAGGAACCTTTAGAAAGGTCCAGTGGTCGTTTTGAGAGAAACCTAAAGGTGAAAATAAAACTTTCAAGTTGATCTAGCATTGGGTATTCTAATTGTTTTTAAACGTCTAAATAGGCCAAGACATCTTTCAAAGACAAATACCTTTTGAGGCTGATCGTTCTACAACATCTTTTTTCACGATAAAGTGGATATGGACAATCTTCTGATCCTGAAGGCGATGAACAGGTGCTGGAGACAGTCCTGATGAAAAAAGCAATGTGTCAAAGATTGATTGATTGACTGAGTACAATGTGTCAAAGATTGATTGAATGATTGAGCAAAGTGTCAAATAAAATCCTCCAACATCTCGTGTATTATCTAGTATCACAGAATAAAAGCATTCATTATACCGTGCCGATAAAGAAAATCCTTTAACATATATTTCGTTTTATTTAGTTTCAAAGGATAAAATCATTCCCTATACTGGCAGAAAAGTAGTAAAAGGTAGGTTACAAATTCGACAAATGAAGGTTTTTGAGAAAGGTCAAAATGCAAAAAATCACATTTATGATTCAAAGCAAGAGCCACCAGGCCATATGTTATAATGTTCTGGTCACATTGAGTAACATGTCAAAGATTCTGAAGCAACTAATATCATAAAACAGTTTTTGCTTAAACCACATTTATATAAAGAAATTAATGTTTAACTCTCAGAAATATTTGTAGGACGAAGACCCTTTCAATAATGTCCTAATTGGAGACTAATGTCTCAGTCAAAAGTATTCCTAAACATCTTTTAAGAATAATCACCTTTTGAGACTGATCATCATTCATCACTTCTAATATTTCAACACACAGTCGAAATAGACAGTCCTACAGTCATGTTGGCAACCCTCCGGTCCTGTCTGATCCCCTAGTCCTGCAGGCAGTTCTCTGGACCTCTGCACGGTCTTCCTGCCCTGTGGAAAATCCTGGTGATGTTGCGTAAAAAAATCCTCTGTGTCAAATAATAGTTTCAAACAATCTTGAAATTTTGTTTGATTAGTACTGATCAATAAGACAAATTAATGCTTATGAAAAGAGTTTACTTTAATTTGGTGGGTTTTTTAGAGTGGGAGTTTTTTACAAATCAACACAATTTAGATCACTTAGAGAGTAGATTTCCGACTTTTCAAGTTGAACACTACCTCATCGATGGGTATTCTAATTTTATAATCATTATGAGTTAAATAATGTCCTGAAATGGAACTTAAGTCTCAGTGAATAGTGTTGCAAGACATATCAAAGACAAATACCTTCTGATGCTGATCTTTCATCACTTCTCGATTCTTGACAGTCTCGTTATAAACGGTCCATGGGTCCTATCGTCGGTCTCCCGGTCCTGCAGGCAGAACTCCTGTCCTGTACACAATCCATCGGTCCTCCAGCCCCACATGCGTCCCACCAGAATCGTGTTGAAGAAAGAAATGAAAATTTCTCACCCAATAATGAATGTTCTTTTAGTTATTACATAAATAATATGTTACATAATTTCTTAATAATTCAGTGAGTAGAATTGCAAGAAATAATATTTCAAGAACAATTACCTTCTCAGGCTGCCCATCATTCATCACTTTGTATTTGCAGTCTTCCAGTTCAATAGGTGATCTTATAGGCTATCCACACACCTACCACAGGATGGTCAAAGGAACAACTGGCAGTTTTTGCTTGCTCCACTGAGTATACATTTTACAACACCACTGACACAATTCTGACAGTGCAACACCAACAAGCTGCAAAGAACAATCCAGTATACAAAAGTCACTTCAGCACTTAAGCTGAAAATCAGCAAGCAGCTCTTCCCAGCCAGTTCTACCTTCTGCCACCCCCTTCCCCCTGAAAAGACTCAATCTACCAATGCCTCCCCACTCACC